TTATTTAGCTGGCTGCCTGCAGAAATAGGAACTTGGCTTTATTCTATACTACAGGCCTTAATCATATTGGTTTTTTAATTATATTGTTCACTTACCTTAACTATGTGTCTCACAAGGTATATCCAACAATGGTATAACAACCACTACCAGAATAATGGTAGTGCCCAACAACTAGAAATGTTACAATGAATAAATCTGAGACCACCTCTACAAAGAAACTATTGATCTGAGGAATATGTGACTTAGCTCTGCTTCTGACAAGCCTCCTATTGCTCAAATGTGTCCATAAGCTCTCTTACTGTATACTCAGGAAATTACTTTTCCCCTACATAGACATGACATACCAGAAATTAGCCTTCCTGGAGACAAGGGATCAATGTTGCTTTTTCAATGACAGACCAATGATATATCCTGATGGTTGATCATTGATGCTTTCTAAGGAAAGATCTTGATCAAAAGGAGGAAATGTGAAAGGAAGACAGCAACATGAAGTTGGTATTGTCAAGAGTGCAATCTAAAATGGAGCTGGTGTGGCTTAGTGGTTGAGCATCGAACCATGCACTGAGAGGTCGCCAGTCAATGCCTGGGTTGTGGGCTCAATCCCCAGTAGGGGGTATGCAGGAAGCAGCCTATAGATGTTTTTCTCTCATGGATGTTTCTATCTCTCTCTCTCCCTCTTCCATGGAGCCAGAAGGCCTCCAGGAAGCGGAGCTAACATCCTCTCCAAATGAAACTGAACTGTTGATCTGGGTGAAGCTAAATGGCTACTTCCGGATATAGTTCCTGGAACTAGCTCTGCACCACTGAACTCTCTTAAAAATAAAGCTTTAACCTAGCAATAAATATAAGTAATTGAATTAGCACAGTATAAGTCTGCTTACCAGCATCAATCACAGTTCTTTCAAAGAAAATTGTGTAATTCCTTGGGAGCCCCCTTTTTTTGTCCTTATAAACTCTGTTCCTTTCTTTCCCCCAGGAACGAAGTTGGGTTTCTACCCAAATCTGTGTCTCCAGATATGCAATTCCTAAAAATACCCAACACACCCAAATAAAACTTTTGTTTGCCTTGCAGTCCTCAGTCAGTTAACTGACACCCACTAGGGCTTGCAATAAAGTTTACACAGCATCTTTTCCCACCACATATGCCTCTAATATTATAAGGTCTGTGAGCCCTGTGGCCTATGGTACAACCCTTTCCTCCTGTGAATCTCACTCCAGGCTGGAAGACTTTTATGTCACACACAGATTTATGGGGCAGAGCAGCATTTCCAGGTATGGAATATACTATCTCAAGGACCCAAAGAGTGGGTTCTGGCATTGTACTTTCTTTCCTGTGACGGGGTGTACAAGATGCAATCATTTGTTCTTTACTTTGTAAGGGATGTCCTGATATGCCCCAGACCACTAGATCCCTATAAACTTCACAGAACCACACCCTTGAGAGGTCTTCATATACTTGTTCATCCTGCCAGATCAGCAGGACATCATCTACACTAATAAAAGACAAAGATGCTAATTGACCATACCTTTGCTATGCCCCAAGCCATGCCCACCAGCCAATCAGAGAGGCTATGTGCAAATTAACCCAACCAAGATGGCAGCCGGCAGCCACAGAGCTGGAGCAAGCAGGAGGCTTGGTTGCTCAGGCAATGGAGGAAACCAAGGTTC